AGGCTCCAGGCTCTGAGCTGGCAGTCAGCACAGAGCCCGACGCAGGGCTCGAACCCACGAACCGTGAGATCATGACCTGAGCCAAAGCCGGACACTCAGCCGACTGAGCCACCCAGGCGCTCCGAATATGAGGAATGTGAGGAATCAAAACAGATGAACTTAAGGGAAGGGAAGAAAAAATAATATAAAAAAAGGAAGGGGAGCAAAAACCATAAAAGGCTCTTAAACACAGAGAACAATCTGAGGGTTGCTGGAGGAGTCTTGGGTGGGAGGATGGGCTAAATGGGTTATAAAGGGCATTAAGGAGGACACTTGTTGGGATGAGCACTGGGTGTTATATATAGGGGATGAATCACCGGATTCTCCTCCTGAAATCACTATTGCACTATATGCTAACTAACTTGGATGTAAATTTAAAAAATAATTCTACTTCAAAAGATGAAGACAAAAGGAAAATGCATACTCAATATGAATATATTACTACTCGACTTATTAGGTATAACCGATAAAAAGTATTTTTTTGTGTTTTGAAATGGCTGCGTAAACATAAAGTCATCATTCAGTAAATGTGTGATGGTGGTGATGATAAAGATATGAATGAATTTAAGAACTGAGTGTTTGGGTATGAGGACATAATGCTTCAAAACATGGCCTGTGGTCAAAGATCTGGCTCTAGGCATCTCAGGCACCCATCTAATGAGTACCACCCGTTAGGCAGGTGGTGTGCATCAGAAACACCCAGGGGGCTCTTCAAATTATATGGCCTAAGCCCTTCCCTTAAGAGTCAGTAAATGTATGAGACCCTGGCATGTATTTATATTTTGAAAAAACTCACTAAATGGTCTAGGCAGATTGGCCATTTTCAATTTCTGTCATTTCTAGAACATATCTTAATCTTCTAAATAGTATAAAAGTCTCACTCCACCAACATCTTCATCTCACTCCACTTCATCTTTTAGATACTGAAGTCAATCATTTTACCAAAACTTAAACACACACACACACACACACACACACACACACACACACACACACACAAACTTCATGCTCAAGGCAGAACTACAACTAAACCCAGACTGAAAGATGGATACCTAATTGGGTTTGATGCTACTAAGGGAAGAAGATTCAGGAATTATTATCTAGCACCCACTCTAGAACCAAACTTTTCATCATTTTAAATATTGCTTACCAAGATACTTGACAATAACTATAGAGTCTCAGCCTATCATCATGTTTGATGATAAGGGGCAAACAAGTAAATGGTAAAAGCATTCTCCCAAATTGTGGGCCACACAGTTGTACTGAATACTTCCCAATGGATCTGTTCACTGTTGTAGTTGAAAGAAAACAAGTAAGTGGTTCTGGATATGTCAGACCAATCATTCTGACAAACCCAAGTCTGAATAATAGCCCTTTCTTAAAGCGCTACAAACTGTATCACATATCCAAAATTAATTGTGTCTAGGAATGTAACAATGTTAGAAATATAGGTTCTTAGAAATAATACTTCATTTGGCAGTAATTCTTCCTATTCTCTGATAAATTCCAGTGTTTATGTGAGTTGAACACCTTGTTCTTCTGCTAATGACAGCATTACTCCTATGGCAATGTCAGGGAACTGTTAATATCTTTCTAGCACAGGGGCGCCTGGGTGGCTCAGTCGGTTAAGCATCTGACTTTGGCTCAGGTCATGATCTCATGGTTCGTGGGTTTGAGCCCTGCGTGAGACTCTGTACTGACAGCTAGCTCAGAGCATGGAGGCTATCTTTGGATTCTATATCTCCCTCTCTCTCTCTGACCCTTTCCTGCTCATGCTGTCTCTCTCTCTCTCTCAGAAATAAATAAAACATTTAAAAAATATATATATCTTTCTCGCACAAATATAAAAAGTAGGTTCATAGTTCATAACTGTGCCATTTGCTTTCCTTCATAGAATTATTTTTTTCCCGCTTGGGTGATAAATGGAGGGCATGTTAGTGATCAAGGTGGATAAATTGACATTTTCTGTCTTTATAGACACAGTCCTTAGCACAAGGATGGCAATGTTTTCTGTATTGTTCCAATTTTAGTATGTGTGCTGCCGAAGCGAGCACTCAGGATGACAATGTTAAAAAAAAAGGAATGGGGGGTGTTTGACTGGCTCAGTCAGTAGAGCATATGGCCCTTGATCTCGGGGTTCTGAGTGTGAGCACCACATTGGGCGTAAAGAGTAAAAATAAATAAATAAATAGATAGATAGATAAATATATAGATAAATAAAAACACAAATAGATGAAGAAATCGTCTACAATGCTGATTTAAGGAAATAAGTTTTAGAAATCACTAGGACTTGAGGGAATCTAATTTTTTATTTCTATCTCAAGCAGCAGTAGCATAACTAGGACAGAATTCCTTTATCTCTGAGCCATTCTGCTGAATATTTTCCAGGTTACTCTTGTTTCAGCAAACTTGGGTAGGAGAAATCCAGAGGAAATAGCTCCCCAAAATTCAGAAAGAGCTAATCCAGTAATTTTATTTTATTTCTAAGAATTTATTTTAAGGAAATAATTGAGGGGCGCCTGGGTGGCTTAGTCGGTTAAGTGTCCGACTTTGACTCAGGTCATGATCTCACGGTTCGTGGGTTCAAGCCCCACGTCAGGCTCTGTGCTGACAGCTAGCTCAGAGCCTGGAGCCTGCTTCAGATTCTGTGTCTCCCTCTCTCTCTGACCCTCCCCTGCTCATGTGCTCGCTCTCTTTCTCAGAAATAAAAAAACATTAAAGAAAGAAAAATAAAAAAAAAAGGAAATAATTGGTATAGAGTGTGTACACACACACACACACACGTGTGTGCAACACACACACTTCTATATGAGAAATAAGTCTAGAAAGATAATATATACACCAAAATCTCAATAGTGGTCTTCTAGGAGTGGTGGGATTTTGAGTAATTAAAAAAAATCACTTTTATCTGTATTCTCTAGTTTTTCTATAATATACATGGACCTTGTGTAATAATTAGAGGAGGGACTGAGGTATTTTCCAAAAGTTTTAAGTACTTATAAGTACTAGGAAAATAGCTATGCCAAACACGAAACTTTTAGAAGCAAACCAAGTAACGGAGGATATAATTTCATACTCCACTGGCTCTGTGGAAGAAGTTTTTTAAAAAGTATTATAGGCTTTCTAATTTTTCTTAATAATTTACTTTCTCCACTCCAAACTATTTTACCACTTCCATATCTACATGGAAAAAGACCAATGATTAATACTTTGGATACTTATATAGTTTCTGCCTCCAAAAATTGTATATCTGGTTTTTTTAACCTTGATGATTCTGTTTTAAAATTCTATTCCTTCTTATTCCAATGTCTAAAATCCTATGGGCAGAAGAGCAAAAATTAAGGCAAGCATTCCTTTCCCCCATAGCTGAAAAGAACATATGTATATGTATGAATGTGAACATATATTTTTAGTTATAATCATTTTTATATAGTTATCATGCACATAACATACATAGCCAACTGTTTAGACGCAAAGGCCATCATCCTGACAATATGATTACTAGTTTCAAGGCCTAGAAAATGCAGCTCACCATGTAAAAATACCTAACCACGAGAAATCAGTAATTTTCAAAGCTGGTAAAACTTAATGTCAATTCTATTTCCTTTAAAAAAAAATTGAAGCTACAGGTAGGTTGACAGGTTAGAGAAATACTTAAATTAATACTAGGTGGATTGCTATTAAGCTTACCTTACAGCTTTGAAAAACTCTGATTTCCTGTGTGTTTCAGTGGTGAGCTGCATTTCCTGAGTCTCAGCCGATTTCCCAGCAGGAATTCCAGTCTGATGAAGAATCAGCAAAAGGAAGCCCTCACTGAGAGACACACTGGTATCATTCACTGAGTGGAGATAGTGAAAGAGTAACATATTTCTAAAGGCAATCTAGATTTTTAGTATATATGCTTACAAAGTAAATACAGATTACCTTCCCATGGCAGAAGCGATGATTAATTTCCCTTGAAAACCCGACAGCTTTTTCTACAAAGTATTTGGTTTTACCCTACTTACCTCTTTGTGATGATTTTCACTGACTACAGTTCATCCCTTAACTGCCTTTTTATCATTGTTATCGTCTCCCAAAGGTGTGAAAATCAAATCTGGAAATCTAATGTAATCTATATAGCAATATTTTTGTTAAAGAAAATGAAATGAACATTTATTTTTTTTAAATATTTTTTAATGTTTTATTTATTTCTGAGAGAGAAAAACAGAGTGAGCAGGGGAGGGACAGAGAGAGAGGGAGACACAATCTGAAACAGGCTCCAGGCTCTGCGCTAGCTGCCAGCACAGAGCCCGATGAGGGGCTCGAACCCACAAACCATGAGATCATGACCTGAGCCAAAGTCGGACGCTTAACCCACTGAGCCACCCAGGTGCCCCTGAAATGAACATTTAGTACTTTGAAGAAATACACGTTTTCTTTCTTATTTTTTAAAGTAGGCTCCATGCCCAGTGTGGGGCTTGAACTCATGACCCCAAGATTAAGAGTTGCACGCTCCATCAACGGAGCCCACTGGGCACCCAAGAAAAACATATTTTCTAAAATGTCTTTAACACAGCAGTTCACAAGGAATTAATAGTTTGAATACAGTTCTAGCAATGATGTCTTAGAAAGTAATATAACCTTTAAAACATTCTGATATATATACTTTTCATCAATGATTCTGAATTGTAAAACTTACTGTATTTATTATTCTAGGTACTGCTGTCAACACAGTACCAGCAAGCACATGTTGCTTTTTAAGTTTAAAATTAATTTAATGAAAATAAAAGTAAAAAATATAGTTTCTCAATTGCACTGGCAACATTATAAGTATATAATAGCCACTTGAGGCTAGTGGATACTGTACTGGGCAGCTAGACCTAGAACATTTACACTGCTGGGAAACAAAACCTATTGGATAGCACAGTTCTAAATAAAACATCTAAAGAGAGAGAGTTATTATAGTTAAAAGGGCTTACCTGGTCTAAGGAGGTGTGGGTGTGTGAAGGGGCTAGGCTGGCCTAAGTATCGGTTTGGAATTCTCCTCTCTGGGATGGGCTGGAGAGAGTATCTTCGCTGAGAACACGACATGCATCCTGAAGGAAAAATAACGAGAGTAGAATGGAACAATAAGCAAGAAAGTCCTGCAGTATATACACATTTATCAATTTCTAGCAGTTGGATGCTTTAGAAAAATGCAAATTAGTATCTCCTTCAATGTTTATATGGCCCTCCCTCTATGCCAGTCAGGGCCTGTCTTGGGCTCTAGGAAAACAGAAATGAGATCATTTTTTACCCTTAGTGACTTCAGTCTACTGTAGTATAATAGAGGTACATATACACAAATTATGACTATGGTATTAATAAGGAACTATGGGAACAGAAGGAAGACAAGAAACAGCAAGGAAGGGGTTAGGAAGTATTTCACAGAGGTAGTGTGAAGCTGTGTCCTAAAATTCAGAAAAAGAGAATTAATATTTTTATTGAGAATATATGAAGTATGAGAAAACATGCTATCTCATTTCATCTTGGAACGTTAGAGGTCGATAAAATAATGTATAAAAATGCTTAACCATAGTACACAACAAACACTAATATTAGCATTCATTCAACAAGATTAAGCATGTGACTAGAACACATGCTGGAGAAAGAAAAGAATGAGGACTATTTGCTCTGGTCTTTAAAGAACATACAATTTAAACTGGAGGTGAGGTGAGACAAAACATTCAAACACGACCTGGTGAACGCCATGGTGGATTCATTCATAAGGTTTTTTGAGAGCACAAAGACTAAAACAACGCTGTGGGATGGGTGCAATGACAAAGACATGGTGCTCTGGGGAACACAGAGAAGCACACAAAAGGGTGTTGGTGTGGGACTGTAGAAGTAGGTGATGCCTGCTCTGAATAAGAATTAGTCAAGGCTGTCTAGCTGGCTCAGTGGGTAGAGCATGTGACTTGATTTCGGGGTTTTAAGAGCTCCAAGTTGGTGTAGAGATTACTTAAAAATAAAATCTTAAAAAAAAAAAGAAGCAGGGGCAGCTGGGTGGCTCAGTCGGTTAACCACGCAACTTCGGCTCAGGTCATGATCTCACTTTTTGTGGGTTCGAGCCTCGCATCGGGCTCTGTACTGACAGCTAGCTCAGAGCCTGAAGTTTGCTTCAGATTCTGTGTCTCCCTCTCTCTCTGACCCTCCCCTGTTCATGCTGTATCTCTCTCAGAAATAAATAAAACATTAAAAAAACTTTTAAAAAGAATCTTAAATGTTAACTCTGAATTAAATTTACAGAGGATTACTGAACAAAATTATAGCCTCTTGGATGATTAAAAATACAGAAATGGTAAAGATTTCTAGGTAGTATGAAAATACAGTCAAAAATAGTGAAAAATGAGAAAAAGGACAAAACATGTATTTCCTAGAATCTTTAGATTCCAGGATTCTAAATCTAAAGATTCTAGGATTAGAATCTTTAGAATGCTTAGAAAATGTACAGAATACATATTAGGGAATATGTCCAGTCTATATAAATTGAAAGCTTAATAAAGATAAGGCAAGCAATTTACAAAAATAAAGGGGACGGAGGAACTTGCTAGAGGACAATACAGGGTTGTAATCAACAAAATCCAGACGTGGGAAACACTGTAGGACAAAGAACTCTGTTTCTTGCACATAAGTTTTATAGCAGGTACCGATAGTAAGAGATGGAAGGAGGAATCTGTAGATTAAGAACACCTTAAAAAATATTATCAACCAACTGTATTACATGAGCCTTATATGGATGCCAATTCAAGCAACAAATTGTCTAACAAGTATCCACTCATATTATTTACTATATTTGCAAAAAAAATTAGAAATTTGGACAATAATTGTATATTTGATAGCATTACAGAAGTAATATTTACTTCTTTAAGGTGTGATAAAAGTGTTGTGGTATGTTAAAATCACATACCTTTTAGACTGAAATATTTATAGATGAAGTGATATGATCTGGAATTTGTCTTAAAATAGCAAGGGGTAGGTGGGTTGGGGAGAGGATGAAAGGGGATTTGGATGAAAGAAGTCTGGCCATGAGCTGATAATTGTTGAAGCTGGGTGATAGGTACATGGGAGTCCATTATATACTACTCTATCTACTTGTATAGGTTTGAAACTTTTCATGACAAAATAAAAGGAACAAAAAAGGATGAGTTAAGCATAGAGAAAAATGAAGGAAGGAAGTACACAGTCATCTGAAAGGCAATCCAAGACAGTTAAAGGCAGCATGGTATAGTAGGAAAAAAATGCCAGTTCTATGATCTATGTGATTTCGGCATGTTACACAAATTCCTTTGCACCACTTCTTTACCCACAGGTAATAATGCAGTTAATATTAGGTAGTGGCTTTCAAGCTTGTGAAAGCAAGACCTGCAGTAAGAAACATATTTTCCGTGGTAACCTAGTATACACATATAAATAGGATATAAACATTTCACTAAATACTATTCTGACTTTTTCTGACCTATTTCATTAAAAAGTTTCTCAGTGTACTAACATACTCACATGATTTTATTACTACAATGTCTTGAATGGTGGCCTCCAAAAGTTATTTCCACACCTTTTTTTTTTTTAAGTTTATTTGAGAGTGAGAGTGTGAGCTGGGCAGGGGCAGAGGGAGAGGGAGGGAGAGAATCCCAAGTAGGCTCTGTGTTGATAGTGTCTGACAGTGTAGAGCCTGATCTGGGGTTCAAACTCATGAACTGTGAGATCACAACCTGAGCTGAAATCAAGAGTTGGTTGCTTACATGACAGAGCCACACAGGTGCCCTGATATGTCCACGTATTAATCCCCAGAACCTGTGATTGCTGATTTATTTGGAAAAAGGGTTTTTGCAGATGTAATAAAAGATCCTGAAATGAAGACATCCTCTGGATCATCTGGGTAGGCCCTAAATTCAATGACAATTCCTTTTATAAGAGGAATGCAGTGAGAGAGATTTGAGACAGGCAGACAAGAGAAAACAGAAGAGGAAGAAGTAATGGAGGCATGTGGAAGTTGAAATTGGAGTGATGTGGCCACAAGCCAAAGAACAGCTGCAGCCACCAGAAGCTGAAGAGGTGAAGAACAGATTCTCTCCTAGAGCCCTTGGAAGGAATACAGCCCTGCTGACACTTGATTTCAGATCTGTGGCCCCCAGAACTGTGGAAGAATTGTTATTTTAAGCCCCCATGTTTATGGTAATTTGTTATGGCAGCCTCAGGAAACCAATATGATGACCTACTAAGAGTACAACTTGTCACTGGAAAACACTGCACTAACAGGCTGTAACTCTGTGCTGAGGGCGGCTCCAGTTTGGGAGGAGGAGGGATGTGAGGATGCTCAATACTTTTTAAGAGCATAAGGGAATCCTGAGACTAACATCAGGTTCCCTGCAGTGTTACCTGCAAACACCTGCAGAAATGACCTTTCTCTATGCATAGTGGCCTTTGGCCCACTTTATTTTTTAGGTATTTGACCCCTGACAGTTGTGTTTCTTGAAAGCAGAGAAGCCACAGGGAAGAGAAAGTAATGGGTTGTCCACATACAAGAATGTGTTGGGACAGTGACTGGGATGGAGAATTATGAAGAAAAGGAATACAATTAGCAGTTTAGCAGAACTACCTGTGTTTTTTTCACCTATAAACAAACTCCTGTCCTAATAAAAGCTCGATTATAGCAGCTTATTAATCAAAGTTCATCATAGGATGCAGCTCCACTTTTCCTAATTACAACTAATAAAGGTATAGTATGTTTAATACTTTCAAATCTCAGCATCATTGCTAATAATAAAGATCATGATGACAGCTAACATTACTATTGTTTATTATATTCCGAAAATATTCTAAGGACTTGTATGTATTAACTTATTTAATCCTTATAGTTGTGTAATGTAACTACTATTCTAAACTTTTAATTTATTTTTGAACTAGTAACATGTTCATATGGATCAAAGCTCAAAAGATATAGTAGACTGACAGGGAAAAGCCTTCCTCCCACACCTGTCCCCAAGTTAACCTGTATCCCTTCCTTGAGACAGCCAGTATTTTCACTTTTGTTGAAATCATACCTATTTTCGTTGAAACGGTATCTATATACCCTTTAAACAAATAGTAGCATGTATGCTTGACGTAGATGTTATTACAGCACTGCCCATTTAAAGGTGAGAAAAAACGATACACAGAAGAATTAAGAAACTGGCCCAAGATGAAAAATTACTGAGACAGAACTAAGATTTGAACAATCTATTTATAGAGCCATAACCATTAGACTCTATGTCTACACCACCATTTTGGCAATAAAATAATTGAATGTAAAATGTTAACCAATTCTCTTTTTAAGAAAATGTTAGTTTATTTTTGAGAGAGAGAGAGAGAGAGAGGGAGGGAGAGAGAGAGGGAGAGAGGGAGAGAGGGAGGGAGGGAGAGAGAATGAGTGGGGGAGGGGCAGAGAGAGAGAGGGAGACACAGAATTCAAAGCAGGCTCCAGACTCTGAGCTGTCAGCACACAGCCTGATGTGGGGACTCAAACCCACAGACCAGGAGATTATGACCTGAGCCGAAGTTGGACGCTTGACGGACCAAGTCACTCAGGTGCCTCTCTCAATTCTCTCCTTTTTTATGTTCAAATAAAGTAATACTAGAATATCTAATCCATTTATTTTGGACCACTTCCTAGTACAGGAAGCTTAAGTCTAACAAATGTAATTAAACAATACCTTTACCTACATTTATGTAAACAGGGTTTTTTTTTTTTTGCTCAATATCATTTGGTTGGTAGCAAAAATGGTATGTTGAGTCCTATTTCTAAGTCCTATTTGATTCAAAGTAGAGCCAGTTCCTTAGTACAGACACTCCTCAAATCACCTGGACTACTACATCTCCTAATGGGTCTGCCTTTCTTGGATCTTGTCTCTCTTGTACAACTTATCTATAGCTATGCTATTTCCAAAATGATCTCTCTAGTCCTTTGCCTGAATGTCCTCAAAAGTACTGTCAACTAATTCATGTTTAAATTCAGGATCTGTCCTTAACTTTCTAGCTTCCTACACTAACAGTATATGCCCAGAATTTTCTCTTTCAGAATACACTACAAACCCTAGTTTAGCACCCTTCATGATCTGCCCCGTCTACTCCTCTAGCCTAATAATCCTCAAAAGAGCATTATTACAGCCACACTTGATGAGCCCCAGTTAATTAGTCTGTACTGTAACAGTATTTGCCTTAGAAAATACAGTTCTCCTGTCTAAAAATGGCTTTTGCCTGCTTCCATGAGCTCAAAAATTAGCTCAAACATCACTTATTCTAGGAAGCCTTCTCACTTTTTTTTTTTTTAACGTTTATTTATTTTTGAGAGACAGAGCGTGAATGAGGGAGGAACACAGAGAAAGGGAGACACAGAATCTGAAGCAGGTTGCAGGCTTCAAGCTGTCAGCACAGAGCCCAATGTGAGGCTTGAACTCACCAACTGTGAGATCATGACCTGAGCTGAAGTCGGGTGTTTAACCAACCGAGCCACCCAGGCACCCCGGAAGCTTTCTCTTACAATTCCCTATCCTTATTGTTTCTAATGTAAATGTCCCTCATTATGTTCCCATGCTTACTTCTGTTTTAATACCTACTATACTGCGCATAGTAGCTTATTAGTTTGCCAGTCCACTATAAACTTTTGGAAGGCAGGAATCATTTGTTCTTTGACTTTATTTCCCCAGTGAGTAGGCTGGGATATATTCTGAAGGCCACAAGTCAACAAGTCTGCCTTTTGATTAGCTGCAAGGAGTGAAGAAAAAAAGAAATGAAGACAATTCTCAGGTTTTTTTTTTTTTTTTGCCTAAATAACAGGATAGATGGTTGTACCATTAAATGAAATTGCAAAGACTGAGATACTTATTGGATATTCCAAAAGAGAGTTCAAACAGGCAATCTGAAGTTCAGGGGAAACTAACAGGCTAGATATATGAAGTAAGATGTTCTAAGTACATAGATGGTATCTAAAGCCTTGGGACTGGATATTTTCTACACAGAACTGTGTAGGTCAAGTCTAGTTACTATTATAATGTGAGAAGGAAAAGCACAGGAGAAAGGAAGCAAGCTAGAGGAAACTGGTTTTTAGAAAGTTAAACTAGAGGAAGTGCTCACCCACATGAGGACAAGCACCGGATTTGGCAGCACAGAAGTCACTGGAAAGCCTGACAAGAATAGTTTTATTTAAAAATTTTTTTCTAATGTTTATTTGGCACACACACACACACACACGCGCGCGCGCACACACCCCATGAGTGGGGAGGGGCAGAAAAAGAGGGAGATACAGAATCCAAAACAGGCTCTAGGCTCCAAGCTATAAGCACAGAGCCTGATATGGGGCTTGAACTGGTGAACTGTGAGATCATGATCTAAGCCAAAGTCAGATGCTTAACTGACTGAACCACCCAGGTGCCCCTTACTTATTTTTTAAATGTTTATTTATTGAGAGAGAGCGAGAGCGAGAGAGAGAGAGAGAGAGAGAGCACGCATNCTTACGTATTTTTTAAATGTTAGTTTATTGAGAGAGAGCGAGAGCGAGAGAGAGAGAGAGAGAGAGAGCACGGGGGGGGGGGGGGGGGGGGGGCAAAGAGAGAGGATCCCAAGCAAACTCAGTGCTGTCAGCACGGAGGCCAGCCTGAAGTGGGGCTGGACCTCATAAACTACAGAGGGCTGAAATCAAGAGTCTGTCGCTCAACCGACTGAGCCACCCAGGCAACCTGAACAATGTTAGCAGAGTATGAAAGATGAAATGAAAGACAAGCCAAAGTGGGTAAAGGTGGTCTAAAGGTACAAACTTCCAATTATATGATAATAAGGTATCATCTACAGCACAGTGGCTATAGTTAACAATTCTGCATTGTGTATTTGAAATTTGCTAAAAACACAGAACTTCAAAGTTCTTACCACAAGAAAAACAGGGTGCCTGGCTGGTTCAATCAGTAGAGTAGGAGTCTCTGATCTCGGGGTGGAGTTCAAGCCCCACACTGGACAGAGTTTACTTAAAATAGGTTTTATCACAAGAGAAAAATGGTAACTATGTGAAGTAATGGATGATAACTAAACTTATTTTGGTAATCATTTTACTATATATACATTTATCAGTCACATATATGACATACACCAATATATGTCAATATATATATTTACTGTTACTAATACACATATACATACACTATATATACACAAATCATTGTTGTACACCTTAAACATATGTTATATGTAATTATATTTCAGTAAGACTGGGAGGAAAAAGTAGACGCCAGATTGGAATGTGCCAGCGAAAGAATAGGATGGAAGAAGGCAGAAACATTAAGGAGAGATGATAATTTTGAGAAGTTTTACTGTAAAGGAATGAGAGAAAATGACATAACAGCTGGAAGGGGCGATAGATCAAGGGAGGGGGAATAATTATAAGCAAATCCTTGTTTTATATCTTCCGACTCTATTGAAGTTAATTTTTCAATGTTTTTTTTCAATTATATAAATTCCTTGAGAGCAGAATTTTCTATTTTCTAACTCCTCTCTGTATCACAGGTTCTCAATACATATTTGTAGAATGTCTAAAAACCTCAATTTCTAAACCCTGGTCCAAAAAATGCAGAAGAGTAGAAAGAATAAAATTTAGAATCAATTCAAGTTCAAATATCAGATTTTTCACTAATAAGCTGGATAGCCTTATACAAATGTATTTTAAGAACCTCACGTTTCTTTTGGGCACAAAATAGTTACTTTCTGGAATGCTGTTACAATTACATGAGGGACTGTGTAAGTCACTTGGTATATTGTGTTTGACCTAAAGATGGTACTCAAATAATTTTATTATTCTTTTTTTAAAAAATTTTTAAATGTTTTATTTATTTCCGAGAGAGACAGAGAGACAGCGTGACCAGGGGAGGGTCAGAGAGAGAGAGGGAGACACAGAATCCGAAGCAGGCTCTGGGCTCTGAGCTAGCTGTCAGCACAGAGCCCGACACGGGGCTTGAACCCACGAACTGTGAGATCATGACCTGAGCCGAAGTCGGACGCTTAACCAACTGAGCCACCCAGGCACCCCTTATTATTATTTTCAATGATGGGCAAATACAATCATGTATACACCCTACATACATGTATGCATATATACAATAGAGAATTGAAAAACCAACCTAGAGTAGCTCTCTGCCCCCATCCACTACCATTTTTTTTTTTGAGGGGGAGCATGTATCACAATATCTCAAATAATCTCATTTGTTTTCTTATTATTTATACCTCATTAATGTAAACACCATGAGGGGCGCCTGGGTGGCTCAGTTGGTTAAGCGTCCGACTTCGGCTCAGGTCATGATCTCATGGTTCGTGAGTTCAAGCCCCGTATCAGGCTCTGTGCTGACAGCTAGCTCAGAGCCTGGAGCCTGCTTCAGATTCTGTATCTCCCTTTCTCTCTGACCCTCCCCTGCTCAAGCTATCTCTTTGTCTCTCTCAGAAATAAAAACATTTAAAAAAATTTAAACACCATGAAAATCACTATTTTTAAATATTATCATCATCAGTGATTAAAACTGTACCTTACGCAAAGTAGGAATTCTATTCAGTATACCTTTCAAAAACTTTACTTTTAAAGTTGTAAACTTTTAAGTGGGTAAAGATACCATCATCTCAAATGATTCAACACTGGCATGCAGAAAGCTTGTATTTCATGCTACTCCCTCCAGGAAGCCTTCCCTGAAACACCCCAAGTCTGGGCTAGGTGTCTCTCATATGATTGCTTAGCATCCAGTGCTTCCCCCATCACAGTCTGTAATCAAGTTGTGTTTCCTATGGAATTGTCTCTTGACTGAAATAAATTATGTCAACTACTTGAATACTTTTTCACGTAGTTCTCAATTTCTACATTTTTCAAAAGCAAAACACAGAACTAGAAAGTTATTAAGGCTCAGCAGCCTGACGGTCATATCATGCAAGGGGCATGCTGTGGCTATCAACAGCAGATTCCACTAGTTTATGAGGCATTGTTGGAGGCCTCCAGGAAAAATACAGGGGAAACAGTCTGGAGGGTTCAGGACAGTCTGGTAGGGCTCTGGACTAGCTTTATTAGGAAGGTCTAGTCCCTACCCAACCCCCAGAATGACACCATAATGCAAACGTCTCTGACATAAGCTGGTAACTCTGCTTGCCACATAATCAGTGTCCTATGGTCTCCTAGCAGTGTCCATGGTAGTAACACTGTCTTCAAGGTAAAAAGTGCCGATCTGCAGTCACTGCCTCTACCACCACCGCCAGGAGAGCTTGAGCTGAGAGGAAGCTACGGTTCTCACTACTCAGACCCAGAACACCCCCTTCCAATGACCTGTTAAAACATGGTGGATTACTATGAAGTTCTAGGAGTGCAGAGATATGCTTCACCTGAGGACATTAAAAAGGCTTATCATAAAGTGGCACTTAAATGGCACCCTGATAAAAATCCAGAAAATAAAGAAGAAGCTGAGAGAAAATTCAAAGAAGTAGCTGAGGCATATGAAATATTATCAAATAACGAAAAACGGGACATTTATGATAAATATGGCCAGGAAGCATTAAATGGTGGAAGCAGATGTCATTTTGATGATTCTTTTGAGTATGGCTTCACATTTTATAAGCCAGATGATGCCTTTAGAAAAAATTTTGATGAAAGGGATCCGTTTTCATTTCATTTCTTTGAAGACTCACTTGAGGACCTTTTAAATAGTCCAAGAAGCTCCTATGGAAGCAGGGGTACCTTCAGAGAATATCCAGTTTTTGAGAGATTTTCTTCATATGATACAGGATATACACCATATGGTTCATTGGGCCATGAGGGCCTTAATTCATTCTCCTCCTTGGCATTTGAAAATAGTAGGATGGGCAACTACAGACCCGTTAAAACTTTGGGTAAGACTGTTAATGGCAGAAATACAAATACACAGAGAATTATTGAGGATGATCGAGAAAGAGAAGTTGAAGATGATGGCAAGCTGAGGTCCTTCCTTATAAATGGTGTGGCAGATGAAGAGCACTTTGCAGAAGAATGCAGCTGGAGAAGACAGTCATTTAACAATTCTTCACCAAAGTCCTACAGCCCCAAACATGTAACTCAATATACTTTTGTGGACAATGATGAGCAAGATATGGCTTGGGTCACCAGCAACTGGGATCCCTCTATTTTCTCAGCAGGATTCAAAGAAGGTGGTAAGAGGAAAAAAAAGAAGCATAAAGAGGTGCAGAAGAAGAAGTCAACCAAAAGGAATCATTAAACTGACTCTTCAGACAACTATGTTCATATAACAATTGAACACGACTCTGTGTGTTTTGGTTAATCAGAGTTTTGTAGATAACATTTGTTTAAAACTATACAAATATTATGTTTTTAACACGTTTAACAGGATTGTGGACATGTGGCCAATGTCGTTTAGATTAGGTATGTCAGAAAAAGATGACTTTGTGGTGACAGTGATGTTAAGAATTTGGAAAACAGGAAATACTATTTTACTGTTTCTGAGTTGAACATTTACAAATCAGAGTTTTTCTTTAGCAGAATTTATGATCTTTTCATTCCTTTTATCTATTTAAAACTATTTGACAAACTTCTGAAATATGTATAGCATTAGGAGCTAAAAATTTATTATAATACACAGGTACAGACTATATAATTATTCATGAAATGACTTTTTTCCCAATACAGAGCATTGTGCACATAAATACATTATAAATAAAAATTAAAGTATAAAGTATTTTCAGAGAGGCTAAAATGAGCAAATCAGAGAACTCTAGATGCTGGCGAGGATGTGGAGAAACGGGCACCCTCCTGCACTGTTGGTGGGAATGTAAACTGGTACAGCCCCTCTGGAAAACAGTGTGGAGGTTCCTCAGGAAACTAACAATAGAACTCCCTTATGACCCAGCAATAGCACTGCTAGGAATTTACCCAAGGGATACAGAAATGCTGAGGCATAGGAGCACGTGTACCCCAATGTTCATAGCAGCACTCTCCACAATAGCTAAAACATGGAAAGAGCCTAAGTGTCCATCAACAGATGAATGGATCAAGAAGATGTGGTTTATCTATACCATGGAATACTACATGGCAATGAGAAACAATGAAATCTGGCCATGTGTAGCAACATGGATGGACCTTGAGGGTGTTATGCTGAGCGAAATAAGTCAGGCAGAGAAGGACAAATACCATATGTTTGCACGTATAGGAGGATTAGGAGGAACTTGACGGAGGACCAAGGGGGAGAAGAAGGGCGGAAATGGTGGGGGAAAGGGAGAGAGGCAAACCATGAGAGACTCTTGAATGCTGACAAAAACTGAGGACTGAGGGATGTGGGGGGGGGGGGGGGATGGGCATGGAGGAGGGCACTTTGGGGATGAGCACTGAGTGTTATGTGGAAACTAATTTGACAATAAACTATTTGTAAAAAAAAAAAAAAAAAAAAAATAAAGTATAAAGTATTTTTTATTAAAAAAATTTTTTTAAATGATTTATTTCTGAGAGAGAGAGAGAGAGAGAGGGGAGACAGCATGAGTAGGGGAGGGCCAGAGAGAGAGGGAGACACAAAATCTGAAGCACGCTCCAGGCTCTGAGCTGTCAGCACAGAGGCTGACGCGGGGCCCAAACCTACGAACTGTGAGATCATGACTTGAGCCAAAGTCAGACGTTTAACAGACTGCGCCACCCAGGCACCCCTAGAAAGTTTTTTTTTTTTTTAAGTTAAAAATAGCAAGAGTAATATTTGCACTGGCTATTTTTACAGTGCACCTATTCACAACAGCCGAGAGGTGGAAGCAACCCAAATATCAGTGAATGAATATACATACATACAGTGGGATATTATTCAGCTTTAAAAGGAAACCCTGTTACATACTACAAAATGGGTAAACTTTGAAACATTACGGCAAGTGAAATAAGCCAGCCATAAAGACAAATACCTTATGTTCTACTTACAGAAGGTAAGAAATTCATAAAAACAAAGTAGAATTCTGGTTACTGAGACAAGGGAGGGAGAGGTTAATAGGTATAGTTTCAGACTTGCAAGATGAAAACATTTTGGAGGTTTGTTTCACAATACGTATTTTAAAACAATTAACACGGTAATTTTACGTTATGTGTATTTTACTACAATTAAAAAAAAGCTAGACTTATCCTGGATTTCTCAGAGCCATGTGGCTCTATCATGTATGGCAGGCCCCCAGGGAATCACTCCAGACAGGAAACTTTCTATTTTCTTTTTTAGTATATACTATGTACCAAGGATCTACAAATACATTACTCTAAAACACCTTTACCTATTTTGTGATAGGTAAATTACACTATAATTTAAGGTCACAATGGAAGAAAAATAAGTTACATCAGATGTTGAACACATGGTCTTAGCTAAATGTTTTCAGACATTTTAAATGTGCTTAATTTAATTTCAACACAATTACTTCTTAGTTTCCTCTATTTTATTTTCAAAATATATTACTTTTCAGTCTACGATTTTTATTTTTCATCCATTCAATGGTATATTTTGAGTACCTACTGCTTGTCAGGTACTTGGGATACAGTAATGAGCAAACACCAAAAATCTTAGCTGTCATGGAGTTTACAAGCTGGAGAAAGACAATAAACAAATACTAAATAAAATACAATGATAGTAATAGGTGTTAAGGAAAACGAAATGAAGTAGGAAAAAGGGACATAAATTTCAGAGTACGAGGGTTGAAGTTTTAATTAAGGTACTGAGGGAAAAGTGATGGCTAACACTGAGTAAAGATGTAAAGAAAGTGACGGAGGTTAGCCATTTGGATATTAAGTGAAAGAGGACAGGACGCCACTTAAGGATCTGAGCAGAAAAGTGACAATCTGACATATTTCAATAGGCTCACTCTGGCTGCTGTCAGAGAGAAAAGACTCAAAGTAAGCAGATGTACAAACAGGGAAATCCGGTCATTGCTGGAATTCAGGCAAGAGACTGTAAAAGCTTGTTCCAGGGTGGTGGACATAGGAGGGCAGGGGGAAGAGTGATCAAATTCTGGATATAGTCTAAAGGTAGGGCCAAACGGAATTTACTGATAGGCTGAATTTGGGTATGAAAGGAGTCAAGGTTTTTGGCTTTAGCAACTGAAAAAAGGGATTTGCTATTATCTTAGATAGGACTGTAGGTGTTGAGTTTTGGACATGCTGCGTTTGAGATGCCTGAATTTATTAACTGAAAATAATTTCTTGGATTGACTTGCGTGTTCCATATTCCTTGTCATCGCATTCTTAGGTTTCTTTTTCATTTTCAGCAAAAAGATCTATTATCGTATTATTTTAATCTTTTATCACTTAGAAATGTAATGACTGCAAGTTTTAATGTGACTAAAAGATGGTAACAAATGATCAAGCAAAACTAAAATCCAATCACCTTTGGCAAAATAGGCTCAGTGGCATTTAGCAATGCAACAGTTCTGGAAACCACAAAAGATAATAACATCTCCTCTCTAAATGATTGCTAGAGTAAGATGGGGGCTTTTGTTTAACTTTGTTTTGGCTGCTGGATAGGGAGGAAATTCTATAGGAAGGTCTGGGGACAATTTGCATTTAAAACTTATTTCCAGAAACTAAAATCATAAAAGCTTAGAGTATTTTAAATGCTTTTATAAAGTGTGGTATTTAGTAAATATCTGTCATGTATGTGGGACAACGCAGAGTTGGAAAAAATACAGTTTCCAAATAACAAAACCAAAAACCAGTATCTCTAAAAATATAAGAATGTACTGACCTGCCCTCCAGTCCATTTTCCACTCTTAAAAATTCAGATTTCATCTTACTCAATAGCTTAAGATTACTCAATGGTTTCCCACGGGCCAGAGGAGTGGGACTATACAAGACCCTTCATGAGCCAACCACCACCTTTTCCTCCCAACTTTATTTTTGAGAGCGAGGGAACACAAGCAGGGGAGGAGCAGAGAGAGGAGACACAGAATTCAAAGCAGGCTCCAGGCTCTGAGCTATCAGTGCAGAGTCTGAACTGGGGCTTGAACCCATGAACCATGAGATCATGACCTTAGCCAAAGTTGGACGCTTCACTGGCTGAGCCACCCAGGCGTCCACCAACTTGGTTTTTTAATCACCTCATCCTATGCATCTTATGCTCGAGCCCAACTTTTTCCAAAATGCGTTCTGAGAGATAAGAATTCAAGACTCATCACAGAAAAAGGGCCCCATGGTCAAATACAGCTTGCAAATTACTGTCAAATTCGCTTCTTTCTTAGAGACTCAGAATTAGTCTGTTATGTGCATGATGAAATCCCGATTTCCCCCAACTTACTTAACCACAAAACCATTTTGGTTTAACACCTGCTAACATGCATCAGAACATATTTCAAAAAAGCTCCCCCGAGCTTACTGATGATTGCGAAGCTTTGTTTCATGCCTTTGCATATGCTCCCTCTGCCAGGATGGCTCCATTACTCTAGTCTCTTGGCAAAAGCCTTTTTCAAATCTCATCTCCTAACATTTAGAGGCATGCCCACATTTCCTCTTAACCCCTCCATGCTATCAGGAAACATCTGTTGCTTTTTCCTTCTCTCCAGCACTGTTATTATTAGTATGTTCTATTATAATTATTTGTTTTGTCTCCCATGATGGTAGAAACCAAGCTCTATGCTCATATGTGGTGCTCAATGTTTGTTGAATGAATTAACTGCAAAAAGGCTTTTAAAAAGTTATTCTCTACTTATTCAAAGTTTCCTATCGTACCCAATACTCTGTACCCAGAGCCTTTCTAAAGGGCAACCAAGAGCACCATGGACATTCAAAGTTCTATTTAGGAGCACCTCAAGTCAGTAGAATTTTTAAACTCTGAAACATAGTAAAATCCCAAAATGACATTTTTTTTTTACAACCCATTACTGCCTTTCTTTTTTTTTTATTATTTATTTTATTTTATTTTAAAAAAGTTTTTTTTTTATGTTTTATTTATTTCTAGGAGAGAGAGAGAGACAGTGTGAGCAGGGGAGGGTCAGAGAGAGAGGGAATCACAGACTGAAACAGGCTCCAGGCTCTGAGCTGGCAGTCAGCACAGAGCCCGACGCGGGGCTTGAACCCACGAACCGCGAGATCATGACCTAGGTGAAAGTCGGACGCTTAACCGACTAAGCCACCCAGGCGCCCCCGTTACTGCCTTTCTTGAGCCCCTATGTCACTTGAGTCAAGACTCTATTACAATCCATTGTTATGTTTTCATTTATCTATTGCTTATCCACCACTCTGACTAGATAGTAAGCAACTCCAGGGAAAGGCAACTTCATCCACAATAACTACCAAAAAGTTACTGAATGAAGAGAACATTCTTTCTGGCTCAATAAAAAGTTCCAAAAGGACTCTACTAAGCCAGAGTTAAGACCTAGTGGTGGTATAACAAAAAAAAGACTAGATGGTAATTATACATTTAAATTGCTGACTTGCCACTTGTGATTCTGTTACTTTCAGTTCCCCACTCATAAATTGAGGATATCTGCCCTGACTTATGATTTGTGAATATCCAAGGAGATCTCATCTATTCAAAATGCCAGTGCACATGATGATATTAACGTTAAGAAGTGGTTAAATCTACTTACTGCACTGGGGCAAACAGAAGCATAATGAATAGAATTTTCAACCATCTGGCATATATACTCGAATATCTAGGCCTAAACTTTCATTAATAAAGGTTTTACACACAGCCTCAACAAACCCCCAAAAAAGTCACAAGCAAAGCAAGCTCTAAATCATAGGTTGTGGCTTCTGTGATTAAGACGAACTATTACACCTATTCAACTACTCCCATGGAGGGCAGCTTTCTGTAGCTTAAGTATTAAAGCCAAAGAGCAAGTTCTGTGCACTGGAGAATGGTTTTTATTTTTTTACAGGAAGGAAATCTTGATATAATTATCATCCCATTTTCAACAAATTAAAGTACATCAATGTAACAAACATACTCCAAGACATAGATCTGATTTCAAATACCACATGCTCTGGTTCACACACCGCTCATCTAATTGGCCAAAAACCCTGAGATATGATCCAACGGCAGATCCGCCTGCAGGGTAGATGACTGAGCTTTCACTGATCGAGGTTTATGTTCATCAGATTAACTGTTCACGACAGAGTACACCCTGAAAGAATAGCCCCCATTATTCCTGGACTCCTTTATCTTGCCCTTAGCAAAAGAGCTTTCAGACATTGAAAAGCCCAGAGAGTATTTCCAAGCATTGCCTCTTCCGAGAGGAACGGCTCAAATGATTTGTATTACTAAACATGTTTCTTGTACATTCTGTAGCCAGCTCTCAAGCCAACTCTTTGAAAACAGGACTTTCGATAACCTAACAAAAACAAGTTACTTGATGCGAGACGTTTTGTCACCTAAGCAAGTCAACTTGCTCAGTCAACTGAGCCAACATCTGGGAGTCGGAGTAACTCTGAAGACAGCCCCTCTTGGGGGATGGCACACACTTTCTCTCGGCAGTCATTCCAGCTTCCCAGAATACCTCAACGGTAGGGAGAACAGGGCCCACCCTTTTCCAGAAGCAGCAGGTAAGGAAGAAATCCGAGGAGCGCACAAAGGGTTTGGGAGTGGAGACCCCAGCACGAGAAGGGTCCGCCGAACCAGGGATCCCCTGAGACCAACTTGGATTCCTCTAGGGCTCCTCAGGTTTCTCACAGAGCAAGCCCCGGAGGGGACACCGTGAGAGGTGGGTCTAACCTGAGAGGCAGCGGGCACTTGGTACGGCGGGAACCAGCTTAGCCGCTGAGAGCAACCAAGGCATGACGGCCTCGTTCACGCGGCAGGAAGAAATAAAAGAAAACAGCCAGAGAAGCGACGGTCGGCCGAGCTACGTCGCCAGGAAACCAAGCCAAACGCCCCTCCCCTTCCGGCCGGCGCCGCTCGCCGGGCTTTCCTTCCCCGACGGCGCTGATTGCTGACGTCACGCCTAGGGCTATGATTGCCGCTCCGGACGGAGGGCCCATTTGGCGCCATGTCGTCGTGCTCCGTTAAATGCCTACAGCCACGGAATGTCCGATTCTAATGATCCCCCCCCCCCAAGCAGGGGCTGATATTTCTCGTCTCCTTCAAAGCACTATGTGGGAGGATTGATCCATCCAGAGAACTGGCTCAGCGTTTAGAATATAAGCATGCGGGCTTACAGGCAGGCAACAGCCTGAACAGCCGCACTTCTAGAAGGTTCTAGGTAGTGCGCAGGAGCAGAGGTGGAGGGAGTAGGAATGAACAGGCGAAGGACCCGGGGTCACGAGACCGTTGGGTAGGAGGAGCCAGCGGCCGGGGAGGTTCTAGTGTGTTCTGCCTCGCGGCAGCCGCCCCCTTCCACACGGTCACGCTGAGCTAGTACCCGCGCCTGGAATCGGGCCGCAACCTTAGCCGCGCCCGCCGTCTTTTCTGGACCATGGACCCCCGCAAAGTGAGCGAGCTTCGAGCCTTCGTGAAAATGTGCAAGCAGGATCCGAGCGTTCTGCACACCGAGGAAATGCGCTTCCTGCGGGAGTGGGTGGAGAGGTGAGACTCGGGCCGAGGACCGTTGGGGGTGGGAAGAGGGACGGCCGGAGGGGGAGCTGGGCCGCCGCTGGCGCGGGGAGCACGGGCGAGGAGCTCCGCCGCGAGGGCGCGTCGAGTCGCCTCCTCCTTGGGGCTCTCCCCGGCCAGGAAAGGGAGGCGACTTCAGGGGCTAATGGAGGAGCGGGAAGCGTAGACGGTACGAGGAGGGGTGATTACAACTCGGTCCCCTCACCCTGAGGTCGCCCGGGGTGTGTCCTGAGCCAAATACAAATGCAGACGATTGCAGGGACTTGGGCGCTGTAGACGCGGTGGTGGGGAGGGAAAGCTGCAAGATTTCTCTTTCGCGTGGAGTTTTTCTTGAGATCTCTGGCGTCCTGCTTAGGTCGCAGTGACACAGAGCTCTTTTACGCACTACGTCTCTAAATAGTGTTTTAATAATGATAACTTGTTATATAATGAGTTGTAATAAAGATGGTAACACTGTTTGGCTTCCTTTAAATTTACAGCGATTCTAACTGCGTAGAATTATTTTGGGAGTCACTTACTGTGCCTCCGTAGTAGCAGTGCCGTTACACTTAACACTTGAAATAGGAGTTTTCAAGGACCAGCATGTTTCCATGATCTATTCTTGTTATCCTTAAATCTGGAGTACTTCGCTACGTGCGCGGAATTAATTGAGTAGGCATTGTGCCAGATGCTTGAAAACAGTGTGAGTGCAGTTTATTTAGTGATACAGAAGAATAAATAAGGAAATTTGTGGTAATATTTACCATATAATAGAGATTAATGTTTTGCATATTGGAGGAGAACTTAAGGGAGAAAGGGAAATCTTCCCCGAGATGATTTTTTAAAAATCACTGATAGTGGTGAGGGATTTAAAAGATGAAACACAAACACAAATCGCATTTCATGGTGATAATAGTGACAGTGCAACGCAACGTGACTCCTTAGAGGTACTGCCCTGGGTATTGATTTTTTTATAGGGGAGGAGGAATGCACGATTACCAAATGCTTGAAAGAGCATGTTTCTCAACAAACTCCGCTAAGGAAAAAGCTTAAGTTACAACTTATCAGCGGTGTATATAGTGGTAAAATTTTTTTCTTCAAGAAGTTTCTCAGCCTTTTTCTCCTCCACCAGTTTTTGAACTACTGTAAGAGTTTGTTCATGTTATTAGCGTAAACTTCTGAGCACACTTAGAATTATTGTAGTAACTGTTGACAGTAGTTAACAAGAATACTGTTTTGTAACAGAAAAACCTTAAAGATGCTAATTTCAGGACTAGGAATTTAGACCTAGTTTAGTCATTTGTTACTGAATAACTTGACAATCTCAATGTCTCACTTAAGACATTAGTACGTTTTTTTAACACTCATTAAAAGAAAGAGCCTACAATTGTTTCTAAAATTCCAGGTAAAGTAGGCATATATACCACAGGGAAGTTTAATATTTGTCATCAAGAGTGAACATTATACTGAGTGTATACAATGTTTTTGTTCCACAGCTGTGAAGAAAAGGTTAAGACGTTTCTAAAGAAAATGTAACTCGAGGGGCGCCTGGGTGGCTTAGTCGGTTAAGCGTCCGACTTTCGCTTGGGTCATGATTTCGGGGTTCGTGGGTTCGAGCCCCACGTCGGGCTCTGTGCTGACTGCCAGCTCAGAGCCTGGAGCCTGTTGCGGAGTCTGTGACTCTCTCTCTGATCCTCCCCTGCTCACGCGCGCTCTCTCTCTCTCTCCTAGAAATAAAAAAAATATATATTAAAAGAAAAAGACACTTTAAAAAAAAAAAAGAAAATGTAACTTGTGGTGGAGTGATGGTTCTGTAGAGAATTCTGTTATAAGGTCTGGAAATTATTGTCAGACATTATTTCCAGAAAATACTTAATGTGTCTTTTTTTTTTTTAGTATTTCACATTGGTAATTCCAATTTCTGTTCCTGGTTCCATTTACATGTTTCACGTGGCATCCAAAATCCAAATTTTTGGTTTCAGTATGGAATGAACCATCTTGGCACGTGTACAGGCCCTATTCTGAAGCTTTTGTTATCTCTTTATTTTAATCTAAATTAAAATTTTTGTAGGCTTTGAGGCCTTTATTTGAAGTGCATCAATTTCTCTCTGCCTTCGCATCAGCCTTCTTAAGTACAGGGTTATAGAAGATTGGGCAGAATGTGGATATTTCTGGGTCCAGTAATATTCCTAGGCCTAATCCTACTTTTAGAGCTTCCTAAATCCAAACCATTTCAGAGTTCCCTTTTCATACTAGATGAGTTGTAGGTACTCTGGCTTAGACATTTGTTTTTAAATAAAGAATTCGTTTAGTCTATTTGTTTGCCAGAATTTCTACCATTGATTGTAGCTTAAAGTTTTATTTGGGTTAAGAATTCATTTAACAGCCTTTTTTTTTTTTTAATGTTTATTTTTGAGAGAGAGCGCACAAGCAGGGGAGGAGCAGAGAGGGAGACACAGAATCCCAAGCAGATTCCAGGCTCCAAGCTGTTAGCCCAGAGCCCAGAAGGGCTCAAACTCATGAATCGCGAGGTCATCACCTGACCTCAACCTACTGAGCCACCCAGGTGCCCCAACAGCCTTTTTTATCGGACAAAGGGAAATACGAAGAAGAAATTTTTTTTGTCTCCGTAATCATTGAGGATCCAGGGAGACTATGATCTTTTCAACAAATATGTTTTGGGATATTTTTTTTGTAGAGAAAGAAGCATTGTTTGACACTATTTTATTATTTCATTTTATGGTAATTTAAGATCAAAGGGAGTATCTTTGTATTTTAATTTCCAGCACAGTGCATGGCACATAGTTTTTAATATATTAAATGAACAGGATGCATTTCTAGTCTCAGTGAGTTTAGAGTGTAATACCCAGTTTTTTGTAGGTGTATAAGTAACAATTGCTCAAGGCAACTGGAATGTATCAAATTAAGGGAAATATGAATGAGGTCTTGTGTGATTCCATATGAGGAAGGTCTCTGCATTAGCTCTAGTTGGCAGCATGAACAACTATACTGGCAAAGTCCAGTTTGCAGTGTTGGGCAGGGACTAGCTTGTTTTAAGTCTTGGAAGCATTAAATGAAATTTCTGTACCTATAAATTGGTGTTAACCTTCTGACAGGTAACTAGAATTTGGAATGTGAGAAACTCTATATGCAGCTTATGAATAAGCCTTGTGTTCTCTCTCCTCCAGTTTTAAAAATAAAAAAATAAAATTTTTGAAACTTGCAGAAAAGTTGCAAGTACAGTACAAACTATTTTTCCTGTAACTATTCCCAATGTTGTGCCCCGAGCACCTTTGTGTATTTCCGACAAACAAGGACAAAGTGTACAATGCAACTATCAAATTTAGGAAACTAAGAATGCTGCATTAATGCTAATCCTCAGAATTACATGTTACACTTGATTGTGATTCTTAATCTCTATTCTGAAAGATTAAGTCATTCCTTGACTTTCATGACCTTAGCAGTTTTGCATATTACAGGCTAGTTATTTTGGATAATTTCTTTCAACTTGGGTTTGTCTCATCTTTCCTAAGGATTAGATTTAGCTTAATATATTTCTTGGCAAGACCATCCCTTCCCAAAATTTTAATGTAACTTAGACTATCATGTCTGTGTTTGAATGTCTACCTCAGTACATTCCTGAATGTTGCATTTCGAAACTTAGGGGAAAAAACAGCTTCAGAAGTTGTGTGTTTTCATTAAAATTTAACTGCAAAAAATGATCATTTGATTACTGTGCTTTTTTTGCAAAGTACAAAGTAGTTTGTAGATTAGAACTTTAAAGAGTTTTGCTGTGTTTATGCCTATTTCTTATGAAATTATTTGCTCAATTGTAACTAAGAATTAAATTTATTTTTTTGCATGTGGGAACAATTTTTTCTTAAGGTTACTGAGTAAGTGAAGATTATTTTGTAACTGTCACATCAAAGCAGAACGGGAAAAGTGTATACATTTTTCTTGATGGGTGCTTAACAAGAAATTCCAGACTTTGTTATTGCATTTGCTGTTTTATTTTTGTTGTTGTTTATTATTTTGAGAGAGAGATTGAGAGCATGCAGGCAGAGTAGAGGCAGAGAGAGTGGGAGAGAGAGAATCCCAAGCAGGCTTTGTACTGTCAGTGCAAAGCCCAGTACAGGGCTTGAATTTACAGAACCCTGAGATCGTTACCTGAGCTGAAATCAAGAGTTAGATGCTCAACCAACTGAGCCACCCAGGCACTCATGCATTTGCTGTTTTAGATTTACAGTTTTGTTTCATGTTGGCTTCAATATAAGTGAAAAGGCAAGCCACAGGGCAAGAGAAGATAACTTGCAACACAGAAAACTGACAGGGCTTG